GGGTGTTCTCGCCGCTTCCCTGCGAAGGAGACTCTCGGTCAGGGCAGGAGACCCGGGTCAGCCGGGCGGGGGGTGCTGGGCGAGCGAGCCGAGCAACAGCGTCGGAAACGTCACGTAGCGATTAACGTTATAAAAACGGCGAGATTTGGGAGGGAGGGAAAAAGCGCTTTCTATCACAGTTTCTAACTTATCCACCCTTTTAGAGAGGCGTTGAAGTCCCGGAGAAGATTTCTCCCGCCCCTTTGCTGACTGTGGTGTAACACACCTGTGTAAAGGCAGACTGGCAGCTGGAACTGGTAACGTTCGATGCTCCTGCTAATTAGCGAGAGGAACCTGTTAACTCGTAAAGAGCAGGGAAAGTTACGGGCGGTTCATAATGAGATACTCTTTTTGTGGGGTTTTTTTTTGGCCAGAGACTGTGCTGAATACCACCTACTTGGTGGTTGATAGCCGACTGAGCGGCTCTGTCAAGTTGAAGTATCTCTTCTTAAAATTTCCCAAGCTTTTTTTCAGTTGGCAGCAGATTAATGATTTCTGTGCTGTAGGAAGTAACCAGTAATGCATCTTTGTGTCTTCAGTTGAGAAACCATCACTTCTGCTTTATGTTTCTTCTGTCATTGCTTGCTTTCCACCCCCCTTCCATCCTAAAATAAGTTGGAAGACTTGCAACTTCATGCCTGAGGCTGGACCACTAAGCATCTTTAAAAATTTAACACTTAGTGTTCTAATTGCAAATGTGACTTTCTAGAATTTAGATAACTAATCTACTACTGATTTTTGTTAAATTTGATATTGGTGATGTGTGGTTCAAAATAAAAAAGAAAAACCTTGTTGCTCAATTAATTGATGATCCGTGGTACACGATGGTTTCTGATTCATGCTTGTCATGAAGTCAGAGGTGCGTAGGTGTGGGGAAACTCATTTATGGAATTTGAAACCAGAGTTGGATAGTAGTTAAATAATGATGCTGTCAGTGTTTTTTGACTGCCGTTCTTCCTGAATGCTCTTTCTACAGCTGCAGGGAAATCAACATTTGTGAATATTCTCAAACAAGCTGATGAGGAATGGGAAGTTGTTCCTGAGCCTGTAGCTAGATGGTGCAATGTTCAGCAAAACTCAGAAGAGGATTGCAAGGTGTGGTAAAAGACACTAAGGTGAAACTTTAAAAAAACCAAAAAAACCCAAAAGCCCAGTCAAATCTTCTAATTTCAGAAGACCAATATTTCTGGCAGACTAGGTATTTTAGAATAAGTGATAGCAACATTTTTTCCGATTCTTATCACAGTATTTGAGTTTCTATTTTCCAGTTTGCCCAGTGTATTAGAGAAGAAATGTTATTCAACATCAGGATGTAAATTATAAAAGGGGTAGAAGCCTGTTGTATTTTATGTATAAAAGGAAGGGATGGAAAAAAGACAGGCAGAATTTACTTTTTGCAACTGTGAACTAAGCAGGTGAGAGCAGAGGGTTGCAGTGTTGTACTAGAAAGCGTCCCCTAAAATGTCTAGGAAATATTGAACTACTGCTAAATTGTTTATAGTGGGTTTTTTTTCTGTCAGCTACCTGTAATTCTTTTGGCAATCCAGCTGCTACCTAGTGGCCAAAGTCATCGCTGTGCAGACAGTTTTTGATGAACTGTAGAAGATTTTTCTTTTTTAGATCTGGCAAAAAGTACAATGTGTTTTGGTTCACTAAATGTAAACTTTTAATGGAGGCATGTTGTTTCCAACTTTTCCTCAGCTGCATTTTTTCAGAGTTAGACAGCTCTTTTTTTTTTTGTCCTTTCTTCATGATGCTAAAGTAAATCCAAATACAAAACCAGACTAAAGATCTTTCTTTTAAGAGCTAAGCTAAAGCTAGGTTAATAGACTCAAACTTCAAGTTAAAGTTTGGTGTTTGCTTTTTTTTTTTTTTAATTTATGGTGATGGATTGAGCCCAGCCAGCACCTAAGGACCCACACAAACACCAGCTCACCCCCCAAGCAGAGCAGAGAAGAGAATAGGAAGAAAGAAGGCAAGAAAATTTATGGGTTGATATAAAGACAGTTTAGTAAGCAAAGGGAAGAGGGAAAGGAAGGAGTGATGCAAAGGTAATCGCTTACCTCCTAGAAGCAGACCAATGCCCCGGTAGTCCCTGAGCCCACAGCTACCGCAGAAGACAAACCCCTCGCCTCCTTCCAGTACCCGAGATGAATTGCTGAGTGTGACGTTCAACGCTGTAGAAGTATCCCTTTGGGCAGCTGGGGTCAGCTGTACTGACTGTGCCCTCCCAGCTTCCTGCCCACCCCAGCCCACTTCCTGGGGGTCAGAGTGGGAAAGGGAGAAAGCGTTGATGCTGATCAGTGCTTGCACAGCAGTAGACAAAGCACTGGTGTGTTTTTAATGCTGGTTTAGCCACAAACACAGAACATGTCACTGTATGGGCTATTATGAAGAAAGTTAACTCCATCCCAGTCAGGTCCACTAAGGGGATGTATCCTAGATAGTGGAACTGGGCTGTATCCCCTGTCCCTAGCAGACTTCTGTCCTGTGCTGTCTAGGACTGTTCCAAGGAGTTCCCAGGCATGGTTTAGGCAGTAGCACAGACTGGGGGCTCTGCCAAAAGTGCACTGTTTAGTGCCATGGCTATTGCTCTTGTGTGCTGCCTGACCACTGTGGCAGAGTGTGGTGCTGGGCATCTTTGTAATTCCAGAATCTTAATTGCTGTCACCTAGGCGTTGACCTCTATCTCTAGATTTTTGACAATGTGTCAATATTCAGATATGGTGTCATTGTAGCAAAAAGATTCAGACAGAGGCAGTTGTCTTTGGCAGGCTGTGTTTTCTAGTAAAACTGAGGCACAGAGCTTTCTCTTTCTGTGAGCTTCAGTGGCTGTCTTGAGGTGTTTGATCTCCCTGGCGGGCAGAGGGAGATTTTTGGCCTGGAGTCTGTTCTGAACCTCCCAGGTAAGATGAGAGCATAATTATATCTTAAGATGCTGCTTCAGCATCTGTTACCGTAGGGACTGTAATTAATAGATGGAAAACCAAAATGAGCCCAACTTAAAACTCACACTTGTCAGAGTGAAAGGAGCATGGATTTTTTTTACAACACTGTTGACTTTTTGTACTGATAAGGTGTTGTTCTTTTACTAAAGCTTGTATATAGTCATCAAAGTGTTTTGGTGCTTGAGCATTTTGACATTGTTTACTGCAGAGAGCTGCTTATTCAGCTCAGTGCCATAGGATGAATAACATTACTGGCATTTATGCCTTGTATTACAGATAGGGTATGATGCAATTGGAAACCTGAAATACAGGCTGAGCAGCTTTAATGTAGTACAGCAATTCTGTTTTACTGCAATCGTCCACCTTCTCGACTTAAAGGGTTACTGTATTTGTTTAAAACCAGGAGCTGACTGCATCACAGAAGAGTGGTGGAAATGTGCTTCGGATGATGTATGAGAAACCAGAGAGATGGTCTTTCACTTTCCAGACGTATGCATGTCTCAGCAGGATCCGGGCTCAGCTCAGATCCCTGGATGGCAAACTCAGCAAAGCAGAGAACCCTGTGGTCTTCTTCGAGCGATCTGTCTACAGTGACAGGTATGTTTGACTGAAGTCCTTAAAGTGAAGATCAAAATTTTCCTAAGTAAAACACATAAATAAATAGCAGAGTGTGACTGAGTTCTGTACCTCCTTTTGTCATAATTTTGATACTAGTGAATCACAATAATCTTAGTAAGTGGTTTGTTATCTTTCATTGGTGTTGACAGCAAAGTAAAATTGCTGGTTTGAGGGTTTATAGTTTTGTTGTATAACCTTTAACTATGTGTAGTTGCTCATTCTTTGTGGGTAGGTTTTTTTATGATTTGTGCATGCGTGTTTCCCTTCAAAGAAAAGAGGGGAGCAGGCATCAGGAAGAGTCAAGAGCAATTTCTTTCTTTGTCAGTCTTGTTTTCTTTTATGCTTCTTGAAACAGGTCTAGCTATTTTGTGTTGCTGTACCCCGTGTGTCTGTATTTGGAAAGTTATATTTGATAACTAAATCCCATCACATAATCCTTAGGTGTTCGCTGTGTTCTAATATATTGTAAATAAATAACCACAGTGTACAAACCAGTAGTGGTTTGTAGATTATTCCTGAACAGATACCCTAGCTGCAAATGTTACTGCGTTTTGTGGGCACTGCTATGGCAACTGCAATGGACGTAGTTACAGGATGAGGATACCAGCTGTTTTATTTCCAGTCCAAGCATACATCAGAGAAGTTACAGAATTACCACACTCTGCTTCTTTTCTAGTTACTGTGCAGTGCATCAGGCAAGCAAACTAACTGAGTTCAAGCTAATTTTTGTTTACACAACTATTTTGTGTTCACAGATATATCTTTGCAGCTAACTTATATGAGTCTGATTGCATGAATGAAACTGAATGGGCTATTTACCAAGACTGGCATGACTGGATGAATAAGCAGTTTGGTCAAAACCTAGCACTGGATGGGATCATTTATCTCAGAGCCACTCCTGAGGTGAGGAATAAAAATGTATGGCTGCACAGAGAATTACAGTATGTGTTACGTGCCTTACCTGTAAAATTTGATCTTTGTCTATGCTTCCATAATTTTTTTTTCTAAAAAAATGTAGGGTTTAACTATGATTCTAGACCTTTTTTAAGATAAAAGAATAATATGCTTGCAGTCAACGGCAGTATGGTCACAGTTGTGTGTCATTGCATGTCACTGTCTTTGTTTTAGGGATTGCTTTGAACATCTCGGGCAAGGAAACAGTTGAGAAATTCTCTTTGAAATGTCATCTTCTCAAAATCTTGAGCTACTCTTATCTTTCACTGTAGGAGTCCTAATGATTGGAGTTCAGCTCAGATTGTATTATTCCCCTGAAGACTGTAATACTTGAGTTATGACTAATACAGTCTGTAAATACTTTAAAAAAGAATGTTCTTTCAAATGTAGCTTGTGTATTTTTTAAATAAAATGTGATGATAATGATTTTCTAATTATAAAACCAGAATTTATGACAACAGCAAACCAAAAAATACCACTGGAGCTTTTAAAAAAAAAAAGTAAAGTACAAAATAGCTATAGGAACATTGCTGTGATAGGCATAACAATTTATAGTTAGTCACAGCTGATTTGGGCGGCGGGATGTGTGTGAAGCCTTTTTACCTGGAGCAATGGAGCTCACCCAGATGAATGCACCTACTGTATGTGAGGCTTTATGACAATGCTTTGATCTTTGGGTATCTAATATTTATTAAAAGGAGAGAACAACACAATGAATATATCTTTTGAGTATGAAACTTCCATGAACAAGAGAAAAACATAAGAGTTTAGAAGAGCTCTAATTGCAGTAATTAACTTACAGGTCACTTCCATGCTGCCTTACATCCAACTTCCATGCTTTCAGCTTTGTTACTGGTGTAAACAACTGTGTAATGTAACATGCTAGAGTTTCTCTGAGGGCTTTTTTACTACGCTTGCTACAGAGGGCTTTTTTCTTTTCTTCTTTAAGTGAAGAACGTATATTTAAATTACAAAGTACCACAGTTTTGAACAGTTTTGATTGGCTTGTTATTGAGGCTTTGGATATGTTCAGGACAGGAACAAATGATTTACTGCATTTGAAAACTGGGTTCCTAAGAGCCAGAAATGTATAATGAGGTTTTGAAATGCCTGTCTGTAATTTCAAATGGGTATTTCTGTGCTCTTTTAATGCAATACACTGGTATCTTCTTATAATAAGGAGCTTATGTGAGACCTTTCCTTATAGTGCAGAAATAATGGAATACGCTTCTTTTGGTCCTTCTTTGATTTTGTGTGTAGTCTGTGGGCTCTGTCAGCTGAGCTTGGCGTAATGTTTCTATGCTCGTAAGATAGTTAGCAAGTTGAATATTCATCTTTGGCAAAGAGTGGCATATTGAGCACAGTAGGAAGGGTTGGCAAAAAAAGCTTAAGCACCCTAGACTTCCTCTGTAGGTCTGCAAAAACAACTTTTTTTTTTTTTAATATATTTTGACTTTAGAAATGCTTAAATAGAATTTACTTGCGTGGAAGAGATGAAGAGCAAGAAATTCCCATCGAATATCTGGAGAAGCTTCACTACAAACATGAAAGTTGGCTTCAGCATAGGACACTGCGGTAGGATTTGTATAATGGTTACTTAAAGATGGATAAATCTTTCTAAGGATGTTCCATAATGCTTTTTCCACCAGTGAAACTTCAGCTATTCCTCTGATATGTAAAGTTAAACTCCAGGAATATTTCTATCTATACTTCCATAGTAGTGTTGGCTTTACAACATGTTAATTAGTGCTAGGACATGCAGCCTGCCTTGAGTTCTCTTCACATCGAGCTCTGAATAGCGGAGGATTTGGCTGAACTGATTTTAATACACAGCTCAATTTAACGTTAGCTGCTGGGGGAACAGAATGATCAAGAATCAATAATATATCCTAGGAGCGACACTGTAAATTCAAGCTGTTTTATATTCAGAATTCATGGCTGTAACTTATATATGCAGTTCTCTTCATGGGATTCTTAACAGTGAAAATGCTGACAGAGACTTGAATGATGTATACGTTTTTTCAGCTAGTAATATTTTCCTTGTTCCTATCTCAATACAGAACAGACTTTGAATATCTACAGGAAATACCTATTTTAACGTTAGATGTTAATGAAGACTTCAAAGGCAAAAAGGACAGATATGATCACATGACTGAAAAGGTAAAATTTCACAAGCAGAACCAACTGACGATTTAGGTTTATTGCTAGCATGTCAAAATGAACGCGGGATACTTCTTGCATCTCAAATTATAGCATTCTTTGAAGTCAGGCAAGACTTAGAACCCGTGTTTCTTCATGCTATAGGCTTGTTTGACAGACTTTCACTAGTGGCTTTGTTTTCAAATATAACTTCTAGTATAAATAACCCTCAACTCTTTAAAAGAGCTGTTACTTGCTACATCCTGCTTCTAACATTTTGCAGATATCCTAAGAAACGTGATGGGGATGGGAGAGGATGAGGGTAGCTGTTGAGGAAGAGAGAAGGCTACACAGATCCGAGTTGGATGTCTGGCGTAAAGTCTTCCATGTATTAGATGTGAAAGTGTCTAACCTAAGAAGTGCTAGTAAAGAAGAGAATTTCAGTTCCAGGTACTGTGAAAATACAGTACAAAACCCTTACAACAGAAGATTGAAGGATGGGTTAACTGAACCTGCAGCTGAATTTTGATCCGAAGCAGTGAGCCAAAGGCAAACTATTACAGGTTTGCAGATATTTCTATTTAAACGGACCAGAGTACGGTCTATCCTCTCTTCTGGTTAGCGTGCCACAGCAAAAGGCAGTACAGCTAATGCAAATAGGGACTCTTTGCTCTAAAAATATACTTCACTGTATAATCATCCTTCTAAAATATTTAATTCATGAAGTTACATTCAGATAATGAACAGTCTTACAGCCTGCTGCAATGCTCCTTGTTTTTAATCTTGTTTCTTAATTGGCACTATCATTAAAGTTTTTCGTTTCAGTTGTGTTCATTAAAGTGTTGTTCAGATGTGCTGGTGCTCAAATGTGGTGGTCTGAAACTTCAGGGAGTGCTTTTCAACTGCAGCTTTTAATTTTGTTTAGGAAGTAATGCTGAATATATATCAGAAGTACTTTTTAATTTTATTTGAAGATATGGAAAAAAAAAGGTTTGTCTGATAGAAATCTCAGCTTGAATTCTTCTTACATTTGTATTAAGAAGATCTAATCCTTATCACAAAAAGGTGTAATACATATTTTAAAGGTAGGCCATCAACATTTTAACTGCTCAGGTGTCTGATATTTGAATCATGATGAGATTCAGCTGAGGACAACTTGACTTTTGAGTAGTTGCAATGAGTTACAGACCTTAGCAATGGTGCTAATGTGCACATTTTTCCACTCTGGAAATAAATTGTTTAGCCCATGAGAAAAGCAGCTTTGTCCTTTGATCTCAGTTTACCCACTGAGAAGTAGAAATGTTCACCTGATTAAAACCAGCCTTCATGGTATTTGCTCTTTTAAAGCTTGTTAATTCATTAAATGACTAGACATTGCAGCCGTGGAGTGAACATGCTTCCCATCTGCACCATGAGATAAGGCCAAGGTCAGGCACCTAAATAGGGATTTTGGAGGAGCTTGTCAGGTTATCTGGGAATAGCCTAAGCCTTGTGTTGGCCTTATTTTTTGGCATTTCCTAAGTGAAGTCCCAGAACTGCTACACGCTTTATGAGTCTGGGTGCTTTGGCCTTTAGTCTATGCTTAAGTCCAGTGGGGACCCAAAATCTGGATGTTTCCTTCTCGCCTCTGTTGTGATGCTTGCTTTCAGAGACCAGTCCTGAAACTACGCCTAGCATGCAAATCATGGGAAGGTTCATCATGCTGTATTACTGTTGCTGCTTTGCAAAGCAGAGGATGGCTTTCTCATGATACCTTTCAAGTTAGAGTATTGGCGCAGTTGTGTTCCCTTCACTATGCGAAGGAATTTGACTTCCCACACACACACACTTCCTTGAGCCCTGACTAGGAAGGGAAGGGTCACAGTTAGAGAATGTGATCTAAGATTTGTTTCCATTTCACATCAGGAATTTGGATAAAACATTTACAGATGTGCTCTGTGTGTGAGAGCCTCTGCCAAAAGAACACCACCATATTCTCCAGTGAATTACGGATTCCTTTCTGTGCAATAGTCTAGCTTGAGTGGACAGAGGGAAGTGCTTCCAGTTCAGGCTATATCACAGTGTAGTTGCTAGGATGCTTCTGAAACAGCAAGGTAGGAGTTGTGTGCCTAGAGCCTGTATTCCTTAAGTCTTGTATCCGCTGGGTGGCTGTATTTTAGAAAAGGTGGCCTGGCCATTGCTGCCGCCTCTTCCTACCCCTATGCCTTAAAGCAAGGGAATAATTTCTCTTTCACTTTTGGGGAGGGGGAGCGGAGGGGGCACAACAAAAAGCATACATAGCTGTGACAAGAATCGAGTTCTCAGCGCATTGTCTTCCTGCAGCCTTTGGTAGTGACCTGAATTTAAGATGTTCTCTAAAGTGACCACAGTTATAAGCATAATGCTAGCTCGCTGCTTGGCATGCTGCCGGTTTTGGATCCAGTTCTCGTGCAGTTGCATGGATTATTTGAGGTGCTGTACTGGATGTTGGTCCTCTGTGTAGGATCATGGATTTCTGACTTGGAGTTCTAGGTAACATTCTATGGGCTAGAACGTCACTATTAATTTTTAGGTAGCTGTAGCCGTTTGAGCCACTCTTCAAATACTGGAAACGGAGTTCAACAGTAGCTGAAATATTTATGGCATTGTTCTACAGTATCAGATTTTTTCAGGTACTGTGGTTTTGCTAGGTATTGGTTTATTATTTATTTGCCAACCTCAGATTCCAAGGAACATATTAATTAGATGCATTGGATTGTTCATTGACATGAAATATGAACGGTGTTGTGGTAGTGGGTGTGACTTGGTGTTTTCCAAATGACGGATCAGTCGTTCTTTTCCTCATGTTTAGGTTAGACCTGCTTTTAAGATAATACATTTGTGATCTAGGGCTGTAGTTTAAGACCATGAGAGGAATGAGTGTCATTCCAATGCATCTCAAGTGTAGTTGCTGTATCTTTCTGATGATAAATACTTTGTCTGGTTGACAATATTTTTTTCTTTTTGCAGGTCAAAGAATTTTTGAGCACGTTATAATCCTCTTTGAAGCACAGGCAGAGTCAAACTGTTCCAAACATCTGTGTGATCAAAGTCTGAAGTACAGCTTCTGCTTTTATAGAAGGCCTCTGGAGAGGCAGGACTCAATCCTGTTGATTTAATTGTGAGGAACAAACAAACTTTGTGAATAGGGAAATTATTAAATAAATCAGTAGGTCTGTTCAGTATTATATTAAGTAACACAAAAATTCTGAAGATACTAGAATTCTGAGAGTTCCCAAATATAATACCTGTTTCTAGTAAGTTCTTCAGGAGTATTTTATTGCATTTTTTAATTTATTGTGTGCCCAGTAGCTATTTAATTTTCAAGAAGGTATTGGTTTTTTAGATCTGTTGAGCATTTGTTTAGTGGAATTGATTTGTAATGGATGTCTCATTGTTCCGAGGAAGAAAAAAATGAAACCCATTTTTGCTGGTGAGAGAATTTTAGTATAACCTGGAGTTTTATATTGTAAAGGTATAAAAAATGTCTGGCAATTTTGATAGTTTAAGTTCTTCTCAGAATACACTGAATAAAAACAAATCCAAATATGGCTGAAATTCTGTAGATGTCAAATTAGTTTTTGTATCTGTCTTCATTGTGCACTGCAAACTAGGATATTAAGAGGCTTTGCATTCTCTAGTGTGTTGGGGTTTTTTTCCCCCAAATTTTTTTTTAAGCTGTTAATAAAACAGACCTATTTTTTGTTGTTGATAAGTCCTCTTTTCCTGTAGAGAAGCGTGTTTGCTTGATGGGTACCAAAAGAGGAAGAAGAAAGTTTTGCAAATGGCCTCCATCTGTAAATGGTGTGTTTCTAAACATTTCCTTAATCGCGTTTTGGATGTCAGAGGTGGCTTCCTGCTTTTGTTCCAGCTTCTCTGTTTGTTGACTGGGTGCTTATATGAGATACTGCAATATTTGAAGTAGGCTCTCCTTTCTTACCTTCGTGTAGTAAAGAAGGGGAGGCCTTTGTGGAGTAACTGCTGTTCTAGTGCATCTTGTTTTATTAACTGAGCCACTTTTGTTTCAGGTGCAGAAAATACAAACTGCACAGAGTACACACCTCAAGTACTGTGTTTTATGAGCTGCTTTGTTCTGCTTTAAACTTCTCTGAATGATTGCACAGTTGGCTTTTTAATACAAAATTTTATTGTAAAGCATTTTATTGTCTGTTGTGGTGCCTGTGTTACCTGCTCATTTGTGATGAAATTTCTTCCTTTGTGGTTGGAACTGTGCTGGCATTCTCTAACCAATGACTGAAAAATAAAAGTGGTTGGAAAGACATTTTCAGTGCTTGGTAGTGTTGGCTCTCTTGTATCAAAATGTTGCTGTGAATTGCTGGTATGTAATACTAGTATAATGGATTAATTTAAGATTATGTATTCTCAGTACTTGATGTACAAATTCTCTAAAATTTCTGAAACACTGACTGGCTTCAGATTGTTTTCATGTATGGGAAATGATATTATGGGATAGAGACACAGGATTATATAAAATGTATCATGTATAACTGATCAGTAGAGGTGTTTTGTATAATATTTATGTTGTAGTGGAATGTAACAATAGTATGGTAGGAAATCTTGTTTTGGACTTCAAGGTTGCCTAGTAAAAGGAAAAATATTTAAAATCTTTGCTCCAGAAATGAAGGGAGGTGGAATGGATGAAGATTCAGTTCAGATTTACTTGAAACACATAGTAGAAGCCTTTAAAACATTCTTGGCAACAGTCTGAACAGTAACAACTTATTTTGATTAACAGTGCAATTACTCCTACAGTTTCAGCTGTCAAAATTGTGGATTTAATTACGGGAATTGGAATGACAGTGCTCATTGCAAGGAATAAACAAGTCTGAGTTCTAATAAAGACTTCTTTTTAAACCCATCACAGAGCACACAGAAATTCTGTGGCAGGTTATCTGCATCCCGTTCCAGAAAGCTTTACAAAATCTCTGACTGCCAAGTTTGGGTTTGAAGGAGCAAAGTCATGACCAATTATTAGAATGTTTTTAATTACCGTGTATAAAAACAACAAAAAACCCAAAACACACTCCCCACCCGCCTCCAAGCTTCTGAGGGCTTTGAAACTAGCTGGGCTGAAGTATGTGAAGCTGCAGTCATTTGTATATAGGGCAGACAGCATAAACAGGAGTGGAGATGTCCTGAGACTGTTCTGCCTGTGCATCAGCTTAAACCTCACAGCTCTGACAGTACCTCAGACACTCAAATTTGTCAGTATTCTTCTCTTTGCTTAAATCTATTCCTGGGCTGCCACAAACAGGATTGTTGTGTTGTTTTTTTGCCTACTAGAGACATGGAAGGTTTCTGAACTGATACCTACTCTTTGGCGATGACGTTTTTTCAGTCTTTTGAGTGCTGTGTCCCTTTTCCCTTGAGTAAGAGAGACTTTGATGGAACTGGCTAGAAATGCTTGCTTGTTTTGATCAAGTGTCATCATGATTGGGAAACAAAATCGGTATGCGCATTTTGTTAATTTTTTTCCAGGTAGGCTACGCATTTGAATATTGGTGGGTAGTGCTTTAATTGCTGTGAAAGTACACGTGAGCAATGGGCATAATATTGCCTCCTTTTATTTTCAGCCCTTGTAGTTGTTTTCTGTATAGTGGATTTTAAGTTCTCTTAATACAAATGCTTTTTAGAACAGCAACCAATTTTGTACGTAGAACTTAATTTTCTATAATTTTGTGCCAGTTAACCTATTTCTACTGTTTTCTGTTTGTTTAAGCACCCTTCATAATAACGGTATTGTATATAAAATGTGATTAGTATTGAGATTATTCTGTTCTTTTTCCAGTAGCTAAAGACTCCAGGAATCTATCTGTGAAATAAAAGTGACACAGGACAAATTCACCGTAAACTGTTAAGCATAGACCAGGGAAGAATGTATGTAGTAATAAAGTTATATATTAGTGTTAATATATTGTGTTAGATAGAAGTAATGTATTAGTGTGCAATTGCTGTTGGCAAGAGGTTTCAGCGTAGCGAGGTGTAAGGACTCCAAGGTTGTTTTCCCAGCTCCTGTTTAGACTCACTGTGTGACTGTGAGTAAATCAGTCTTTGCTTTGGTCTTTTTGTCTTTAAATATTGGTATGACCCTATGTCTTCCGAAGGCTGTGAGGATTAGTTAGTCAATATTGATGTTCTGTTTTGTAGGTCTCAGCTGCTCTGTTAAATAATTGAGAATGACAGCAGCCCTGGTTCTAGGTTTTTTCACTGGACTGTCTTGGTGTCCTCATGAAACAAGTCACTGGCCCAGATTCATGGTCAATAGAAATTATTTGTTTGTTTTAAAAGATATTGAAAGCCATCAGTGCAATGTCAATTGTGTTGGAAGTTAGTCCACTGAGAAACATGGCCACTGAAAACTGTCACCATTTGTGAGGAAAGGAACCTTCTTACAAAGTAAAACTTGAAATAAAAATTGATGGCAAAAGCTGTGCTGCGGTCCGTGTAGCTAGTGGCGAGGGCGAAGCTATGTGCAGAATCTGCCACACGAGGTCATGGTGCACTCAGTTCTCGCTCGCTGAGCAGGCTGTGAGAAGAGCAGCAGTGTTTTAGTAGTGAATGGCTTTGGAAAAGGTGAAAAAGGAAGAGGTCACTTCCTCGCTTTGCCAGAGCAAAAACATTAAACTGATTAATACTCTATTGAATGCGATAAATCTTGACCTCTGGAGGGAGAGGAATAAAGCAAGCCACAGTTGGATTAAGACTAGAAAAGGCTGAGCTAGTGGGAGGGTTTTTGACACCAGAAGGTCTTCTGTGCAGCCGCTAGCTGTTTCTGTTGTGTGAGGGAATATTAGTGCATGGAGAACACTAATCCTGGTGTGTCTGAGTGATAACAATCTTGCAACGCTGAGCCATCAGGCCCGAATGCAGACAGTGAGCAGTACTAATGCTGGCAGCGTGCTGGGAGAATAAAGCAATTATGAATTCTACCAACTGAAGTCACACACAGTACTTTATATGCCAAATATAAGCCTAAACTGGGTATGGCTCCTCTGAAACGATGATTGAAATCCAGTAGTGACAAGGAGCGTGGATTCCATATTGAGAGTAAGTGGTGATTTATTTTACCTTAGGTTGGTATTCAGCGTGGGTGTAAAATGAATGTAATGTGCAGAGCCTAAACGTCTAGGCTGTGGTGTGTAGGTGACTATTTTGATGTTCTTAGGTCTAGGTTTCAGTCCATGGTTATAAATAAGACAACAGCGTAAATAAGAATATAATGCCTGCTAAATTAGATTGTAGGATATTGCCCGTTTCTTGGATTTCTGCTGACTGCTCTTCTTGATGGCTGAGGCAGGATGTACATTACACGTATGTATCTCTGGAATGTCAAGGTAGTTCAGCTTGCACCCTGTATTTTTGCTGGCCGACAGCACTGACTGACTTAGACATTGCCGCTGCAGTTCATTCAGTATATGTTCCCGTGCTTTCTCCAGACTTATCTGTCCTGCATTTTGTGCTTTTCTCTTCAATTTCCTTCCAAGTTGTTGTGACTTTTCTTTTAACAACTGCTAAAAACATCATCTCGTACAAGTTGTAACAGGCAAAATTTCACTAGTATGCAGCCTACTTGAGGATGTGGCTTCTGCCTCAGTTCCAGTTCGATATCTTAGGTTTTCTAGTCCTTCTTTCTGAGCAATTCTCCTGTCTTAGCCTGATTGCTGGGGCTCTTCTAATTCCTCCTGGCTTCAGCACTGTCTATGGATGTATGCTGACAGCATGCCCTTATTTTCATAATTTGCCTCTGCGGGTTTCTTAAAATGATAGCTATTGCTCTCTGTGAAGTTTGCACTGCACATTTGGTTTTGTCCTCTCTGTGGGGCTAGCTCATGGCCTTTACCCTGACCCTCTCAGCGGCATACAGCGGCCTCAGGTCATTGACTGTTTTGCTGCAGCAGACTGCTGGTGTGGATCAGCTGCATGTGTCCTGTCTGCGCCGTGCCTCTGGAGGAGAAGCCCTGCTGTCACAGAAAGCAGGACTTGGCGTTTTAGGTATCTGTTCCTGGTCTGCTCCGCAGCTTGTTTCATGAGGGTTTATTGCAATGGTCCAGCATAGTTGGGTAGGTATTTCATGTGTGCTTGTCCTTGTCAACAGTTTCTTTGCTGTCCCTGCTTTATTATTGTCTAGGGGATAGGCATTGTGTCAACTGCCTAAAAAGCTTGTTCAAATGGGATTTCTGTTACAGCATACTGTGGCCACAGTCTGACGATAGCTTGTCAGGATGCCGAAGCTTTTATGGCCTTCTTTAACGGCAGTTCTTGCTGGAGCATGCTTTAAACATTCTGGTTTCTGAATGGTAGACTTGCTCTGTATTGTAACAAAGGAATAGAGCTCTGCTTTGTGG